AAGAAGGTCAGGTGGAGCTTCAGGTCTACCTGACAGCTTGTTTCAGCTTTCATTAGGTTACCACTGGCCCATCTCCTGAGTTTATGAGTACTTCTTATCTGCTGCACTTCCTCTCATTCATTCTCCCTTCTGTAGCTATACATTTTTAGCTCCTTTAGGTGGGTCAAGGAAATAGTAGAAACAAAAATATGTGTAAGTAGCAGCCTTTAACTAGAGGTGAGACTAGTCATGTTGCTTTATATTTCCCTATCCCAATTTAGGAATTTGGGGCCAAAGTTTCAAGCGTCTCCCTTCTCTTTTGTAGTCCCCAATTAAATTTTGGTTTAAAATTCCAAAAGACCAAGCAACCCATAAGATTATTTTCAATAGTAGTTTGAATTTCTTAGGTGAGAAAGAAAAAAAAAATCTCAACTTCTCAGCCCTCTATCAGTGAGATAGCAGAAGTTTGGGCAAGGAAAATCCTTACTTATGTGGGGCATATAAAATGAATTTTGAAGTCAAATTCAGGGTATCAATTTCAAACTGTACTATAAGGCTACAGTAACCCAAACAGCACAGTACTGGTACACAATAGACACAGACCGACAGAACAGAGAACCCGAAAATAAAGTCAACTAAAATAAGCAATGGAAACAGGACTCCCTATTCCATAAATGTTGGTGGGATAGCTGGCTATCTATATCCAGAGGAATAAAACTGGACCCCCACCTTTCACCATACACAAAAATTAACTTGAGATAGATTAAAGATTTAAATGGAAGACCTCAAACTGTAAGAATCCTAGAAGAATACCTAGAAAACACCATTCTAGGCATCAGTATTGGGACAGAATTTGTGACCAAGTCTTCAAAACCAACTGCAACAAAAACAAAAATTGACAACTGAGAGCGAATTAAACTAAACAGCTTTTGCACTGCAGCCAGATGTAGTGGCTCACACTTGCAATCCCAGCACTTTGGGAGGCCAAGATAGGTGGATCACCTGGGCTCAGCAGCTCAAGAAGAGCCTAACCAGCCTGGCCAACAGGGCTAACCCCCATTCCTACAAAAAATAGAAAAAAATTATCTGGGCATGGTGGCACCTGCCTGCAGTCCCAGCTACTTGAGGGCCTGAGGCGGGAGGATCACTTGAGCCAAGGAGGTTAAGGCTACAGTGAGCTGAAATCCCCCCACTGTACTCTAGCCTGGGTGGCAAAGTAAGACCCTATCTCCAAAAAAATGAAAGAGCTTATCCACAGCACAGGAAAAAAAAAAAAAAAAGCTATCAGAGTAAACAGATAGGCCTTTGCTGGATAATGCAAAAACTAATATCCAGAATCTACAAGGAACTTTAAACAACTGAACGAGCAAAAAACAAATAACCACATTAAAAACGCAAAATGACAGGAACACACACTTCTGAAAAGACAATACAGAAGTATCCAACAAACAAAAAAATTCTCCACATCACCAGTCAGAAATGCAAATCAAAACCACAATGAGATACCACCTCACACCAGTCAGGATAGCTATTATGAAGTTTAAAAAAAAAAAAAAAAGATGCTAGCAAGGCTGCAGAGAAAAGGGGAACACTTACACAGTTGCTGGTGATAATGTCAATTAGTTCAGCCACTGTGGAAAGAAGTTTGGAGCTCTCTCAAAGAACTTAGAACTACCATTCAACCCAACAATCTCATTAATGGGTATATATTCAAAAGAAAAATGCTTCTACCAAAAAGATACATGCACCATGTTCATCACAGCACTATTTACAACAGCAAGCACATGGAATAACCTAGGAACCCATCAATGATGAATTGGATAAAGAAAATGTAGAACATATACACTATGGAACACTATGTAGCCATAAAAAGAAGAAAATCAAGTTCTTTGCAGCAACCTGGAAGCTGTTATTCTAAGCAAATTAACAGAGGAACAGAAAATCAAATACATGTTCTCACAAGATGGATCTAAACAATGGGTACTCATGAACATAAAGAGGTCAACGACATTGGGGATTATTATATAGAAGGCAAAGCTTGAAAAACTACTCAGTATTACACTGATTACCTGGGTGATGGGATCAATCATACCGTAAACCTTAGCATCACAAGATATACCCAAGTAATAAAGCTATACACATACCCTCTGAATCTAAAATAGAATTTGATGAAAAAAAATTTTAGAGCATCACATACAGCTCTTGAAAAACAAGAAATTACATTCTCTCAGAATTACCTAAATGACTGACAGTGTTGACACCCAATTAATTTTCTTATTTGGGACAATGAGAATTGTAGTTTCTTTAATACGTAAAAAGCATGCATCATTTCTCAACAGGGCAAAAAAAAGTAGTCTTATAAGACATTTTATACTTCTATGTCCCTTTCCTTATTTGAATTTGTATAAATTATCTTTTTTAATGAAGTGACTGAGGACTTTTGGCACCATACCCTAAGAAAACAATCAATAGTCTGTAGGGTTGATCTTTTACAGAAGGAGATAAGGGCGTTCCCTTGGCAAATGGCCACCCAGACACTGCTATAAAGCAAGCTTTCCAAGGACTTACTAGGATATACCCAATGTATAATCATGTTTTGTAAGTTCTTCAGACATAATAGTGATAAAAATGAGCCATGAAGTATTTCAGAATGGAAATTGTGATGAATTACTATCACTATTAGGATTTTATGACTGCTGTTATCTAAGTAAAAGTGGAAGACAGTTTCTTTTCCATTAACAAGGCCTTTCCAAACATTCTTTTGCCTTAAAAGTGGGTGTATTAGTCCGTTTTCATACTGCTATAAAGAACTGCCCAAGATTGAGTAATTTATAAATGAAAAATATTTAATTTATTCATAGTTCAGCATGGCTGAGGAGGCCTCAGGAAACTCACAATCATGGTGTAAAGTGAAGGAAAAGCAAGGTACATTCTTCAGAAGGTAGCAGGAAAGAGAATGAACACAGAAGGAACTACCAAAAACTTTAAGAGTGCCACATCTGGGAGACCTCACTACCAAGAGAACAGCATTGGGCAAACCACTCCCATGATTCAAGTACCCACACCTGATCTCTGCTCTATGATTCAGTTACCGCCACCCTGATGTCTCCATGGCCCATGATTCAATTACCTCCACCTGATGGCCCCCTTGACACACAGGATTATGGGGATTGCCAAACCCTATCAGTAAGATGCTTAGTGTCCACCTATCTTAGGCTGCCTTAGAAAATGCAAAAAATTCAATGTAATGCAAAAGTTTTCTCCATGGGACAAAAGTCTAGTGTAGAAATGACTATAATCCCCTATAGCTAATTACCAAGCAGATAAAGATCCTGATGGCCATTGTGTCCCATAGAAATGCCTGCATATATGAGCTATGTTGTGACAATGTTCATGGCACAATATTTTAGGTAAGTGGTTCGTGAAATGGTTTCAGGGACCCCTCCTTCCACCGCCCAGAAAAATGGAATGAAGTTAGCAACTAGAATTTCAAATTTCGCGTTTCAGATGTAATCATTGGGCTGATTACACAAATCATCGGTGATTATGGAATTTTACACTTCCATTTTCCAAATGCCAATATTCAGAAAGTAAAATAATATGAGACCCTTAATCTGCCTTTGTGAAAATTATAACTGAGGAAATTAAGACCGTGAAAGGTCAGACCTAACCGACTCCATCTTGCTTCTACCCATTAAGCTGTTCTTGTTCATTCCTTGGTGTAGGCCTAACTAACCTTGGGAAGGAATTTAGTTTATGGTTTGACTCTGAAACAAAAGTGATGATAATTCTTTCCTGAAAAAACCCCCTTCTTGCCTGGGGACTGCTCTGCCTTGGTAAGACTAAGAAATTCGCTACAAGATTAGAAATTACGGTTTAGAAGTCATGCAGCCTCTGGCTCCAAGAGTCCGAAACTCTCCAAATTGCTCCTGGGGATAACATCACTATTGTAAAACCTAAGGTCAGTGCTTGAGATATTTTACAGACCCTTCTTTCCATGCATCAGGTGACACCAGCCAGACTGGTAATCTGTCTCATTCAGTTCTGCCATCTCACCCAGGAACAGAAGACAGCAAGAAAACCTCACTTAGACCCCGCCTGATTCCATCTCCAACTTGGACAATTAGCACTCCCCACTTTCCAATCCCCTACCCGCCAAATTATCTTTAAAAACTCCGATCCCGAAATGCTCGATTTGACTAATTTTTTAAGTAATAATAGAGACCGATGTGACTAATAATAAAACTCCAGTGTCCCGCACAGCAAATTCTGCGTGAATTACTCTTTCTCCATTGCAATTCCCCTGTCTTGATAAATCGACTCTGTCTAGGAAGGAGCAAGGTGACCCTGTGGGGCAGTTAAAAAACAACTTGAGCATTTTGGCTTTTGAGCATATGTGAGGGTTTGCGAGGGGCTCCTCTCTGGAGAACGTGCCACTTCCCTTGGACTAGAATCTCGGTAGCTCGGTTTTCAAAACCTCCTGCACAGGCTGTGTATGCTGAAGGATGACATCCATCTTAAAATAAAAACGGTTCGCTTCAATTCGAGGCTTCACAAACTACAACGCCCCACTGGCTTCGGAGAAGTTCAAACACCTTAGCAAAATTATGTGAATATCTGTAATGCCGCTGCTTCCCACCCCAGCCTCCACCTCATTCCTCAGTGCTAAAAACAAAGTAAGATAAATATTATCACGTACGCCTCCATTTCACTTCCTCAGCTCCTCACTGCTTTCCCCCTAGTCCTCCTTTTCCCATTTCCTCTGTTTCCTTCATTTCCCCAACTAGTTAACTTCAGTGCCTCTTCTAAAATAAAGGAGGTATATCTCGAATTCAGGCTTAAATCCCTAGCCTCCCTTGAAAGGTTATTAAGTTCTGCTCCTCTCCCCTCCTGCAGCACCTAGTAATCAGCGCAGTCGGTCTCATGGAAGGTGCTCAGTAAACTAAAAAAACACACACACACAACGAAAACACACCCTGCAAACAAGCGTGCCCGTGCTACTCAATCCACGCATGCGCGGATGCAGCGTCCCGGACAGCGAGACCCTCAGGCCCGAGTTCGAACTCCAAGTCGCTCATTCCCAGCCCACGCAGTCTCTCACCCCGTGCCACACGCCGGGCCTTCCCCACCACCTCATCTGCCTGGGCGCGTCAAGGGCTCGGTGAGGCAGCCGCAGCTTTGCCTGTTAAAGGCCAGAGCGTCCCATCTCTGAAATGACGGAGGGAACAGAGCTCAAGCTTGAATCACTGAGCGCGGCCCGGCAGTCCCTGAGGTGAAGACGCCAGGGCGGGGAGCGGGAGGCCCGGCCCCAGGGAACAGCGGGGCGCGCCCGGCGCCACTTACCTCTCCAGGGCCTGCAGGGTGTAGCTGATGAGCGGCCTCCCCAGGATGGGGCAGAATTGCTTCGGGGTGGGGACGCCCATCCTCTCCCCGCACCCCCCGGCCGGCAGCACCGCAGCCACGGCGAGCGGCTGGCGCCCGGGCTGGGCCCGAGCCGCGCGCTGCAGGGAGGCGGAAGCCGCTTGGTCCGCGCCTCGCTGAGCGCTCAGGCAAGGACCCGGCTCCGTGGGCCTGGAGCTGCCCGGCGGCCCGGGCTCCATGGCTGCGGGCGGAGCGGCGGGCCACACTAGCCCCGGGCCGATGCGACCCCACGCTGCTCCCACCCTCGGCCGGGGTCGCGGGGTGAAGAGCAGACCACCGGGAGAGTCGCAGAGCGCGGAAGACGAAGGCGCCCCCCTGAGCCGCCGCGGCCCGGGTGTTGCCACCCCGCAGGGGACGTTTCCGACAGCCGCGGCAGCGTCCGAGGCGGCCGCTCTGCCCTCGCCGCGCAGCTGCGGCCTCCGCACCCGGACCCCGCGCCTCCGGGAGGGCCGACCTGCCCGCCCTGCGCTTCCCCCGGGCAGGCCCAGCTGTCGCCGCAGGTGGAACTGTCAGCGCGCCCTACAGATCTAAAGATCGCAGATACTTAAGGGCCTTGAATGAGTTTGCAGGAGAGCTCAGGCCTCCATCCCGTCCCTCCTGGCTTTAAAATTTTGGAAGAAATTGGGATTCACAGGATGGGAGGTAGGGTGCGTATGCACCTCGATTATCTGAATTTCGTTAAGTTTTGGAGACTTCCTGGTTCCGCCCCGGGTAAAGACAGATGGATTAGCAAATGTTAGTGTGGCACATCAATAACCCAAACTGTGGTGGCTCTCAAACTTGTCTGCACGTTGGAACCACTTGGGGAGCATGTCCTGGCGTCTGCATTTCACCCTCAGAGACTGGGATTTAATTGGTCTGGTGTGGCCTGGGCTTTGGAATGTTTTCAAAGATCCTCATGTGATTCTGATGACCGTGCACGTTTTGGAACCACAGGGTCAAAGCAATGCTAATTGCTGAACAATTTATACACCTGATGTCATTTAGTCCCCAGGAGAACTCAACTATTGCCAATTCCCTTTTTACAAAGGGAGAACCAAGTTAAAATGGTTAATTTATGTAAGATTGCAAAACTAACAGCAGAGCAGCCCCAAGGTCCTCATACAGAAGTAGGCCGAGGTTGAATAATTTCAGGCCTAAAGCATATCTCACCTTACTTCCTACTGTTGTTGCCGGTGAGGTTTACCATTAAAGTATAGTGAAGAATTTGGAGTAGGAGAGCACTATTGCATTAGGTCCCTGGAATGTAAACTTCATGAAAGTTGCAACTCTTTTTTTTGGCTTGGGTTGTGTGTACCCAGCTCATGGAACGTAACAGGAACTTAATATTTATTGAGTGAATTGCTGATTAAATAGATTAATAAACATTAAAGTGTATAATCAGTAATTCATAGTCTTAATGCAGTGGTTTATGACTCATAAAAACCTTTTAAACACTGGAAATATCCAGTTATAGGATTTATTACAATTTTTACACATTTATTTTTACCCATTTTCTCAGTTGAGAGCACATAAAAAATGATGTTTTCTGCTTTTTCTTTTTCTTTAGTCTTATTGAAGGCATTCTTTCACTTTTGTTACTTTTATTATAATTAGCATTTAGGTCCTGTGTTAACTCTTAGCTGAAAACTGGGTGCCATAATATACTTCCTGGTCATTTTTATTGCTGTTCTTTCTAATTTGATCTTGAGGTCTCTCTCTTTGAGAGCGGCTTAAGCCAAAACAGCCATTCTTCAGGATAACCCTGACCCAAAGAGGAAACCTGGGTTCTGGTGTGCAGATGAGATGCCAAAGGAGGCAACACACAAAACATGTGAAATAACAGGCACATTTTATTACTTACAGATTCGCCAGAGAATAAGCCTGATGGGAAGTCTGGAGATAACGGGACACCCAACCAACAGGTGGGAAGGAAGAGAGAGGACTGGTGGGGGCTAAGTTAAGGTCTAAAGCCTTTATCCCTTAGGCTTTCCGGAGTGGGTTGTGGGTTGACTAGTTTAAAGAAAACACCAGCAAAGGGGGAACTTGACTCTGGTGTTGACCATTGGGTTTTATCATGGTTAGCAGCTGTGGGATGTGTTGGGGCTTTGGTCGTGGAATGAAGAACAAGTGTTCTGTATCACAGGGAGGGGAAGTTTTAAGTAGGCTGCAGGTGATGGCATACAACTGAGTTTCAAACAGTGCATATCAGGCCTAAAAATGAATGCCCAGGCAGCAACTATATTAAACAAGTTTGGCACAATACTTGAGTTCGTAGCACCACTACCACACCTGTATCAGACATTTAGTAAATATCTGTTGACTAACTGGGTAGATGAATGAATGAGTCTATGAGAGCAGGAAAGTACTTCATATTAGTATTTCTGTTAGTGTTGATCTTTAAACCTGTTTAATCTAAAGCTGGAGTTGTTACAAAGCTCTTCTTCCTTTGCTTAATCTTAAGCAAACTATAGTAATAAAGGTCTTGTTACACTAATTGCTATAGAATAATTTTATATAATTAAACATTGGCAAATTTTAACTAGAATCTTATTTAGTTTTGTTCTTAAAGTATATCAATTTAGATCTTACATGACTCCTTAGATCCTTAGATCTAACATACTGTATATATGTTTAGTAGACATAATGTCTAGCAGATCAACTTGCAGTGAAAAAGGGCAGACTATAGTATATTAAGTATGAAGCAACATTTTTCTGTCTCCTTTTTATATAAATATAAATAATTAGTTCCATGTTATGTGTACTTTGGGTAACAGATGTAACTTTCTTGTTACTTAATACTGAGTTACAGCGGCCATATCATGATAATATCTTCTCTGCGTCAGGCATGTGAAAGTACGTACCCTGAAAAGTGAAATCCTCTGGTAACCATTGGTAATAACCATTCTGAAGTATCACTTGAAGAGTTTAGAAAAAATAAATCCCAACTGAATTATGAGGGAGAGCATGCAGTGAGAAGTTCTTGGAGGGGTTTTTGTTTTGAGTTTCCACGATGATAGACAAAATAATGGTTCTCCAAAGATGCCCATGTTCTTATCTCCAGAACCTATGAATATGTTACCTTACACTGCTACAGAGATATTGCAGATGTGATTAAGTTAAAGATCTCGAGATGGAGGAGAGCACCCTGGATTATCCCGGTGGGCCCTATATAATCTCTGGCATCCTTATAAGAGAGAGTTCAGAGTCAGAGAAGGAGGCATGAGGATGGAGAGCAGACAGGGTTAGAAATGTAGGCAACCTTGAGAAGCTGGAAAGGGCAAAGAAGCAGGCTTTTCTCTTAGAGCTTACAGGAGAATATAGCTCTGCCATCCCATTTTCAGATTTCTAACATCTAGAACTTAAGATAATCTACTTGAGTTGTTTTAAGCTGCTAACTGTGGTAATTTGTTATAGCAGCAAAAGGAAACTAATATAGGCTTCACACTGACAAATATGCTCATTTGGACTATTACGACTTTTTAAAATAAATCCTTTGTCTTGCCAATTTGAAAATGTATTATAAATGTTTAAAGCATAACTTTGTAATATATACCACAATTTCATAACCTGCCTTTGTCATGCCTTTAATTTTTTTAAAGTAGACTGTTTTTAAGATTAGTTTTAGGTTCACAGCAAAATTGAGAGAAAGGTACAGAAATTTCCCATATGCTCCCTGCCCCACACTGTTAAAATCTCACCAGAGTGGTACATTGGTTACAACTGATGAACCTACAGTGACATATCATTATAACCCACAGTTGATAGTTTACATTAGGGTTCACACTTGGTGTTGTACATTCATTCTGGGGGGTTAATAAATTTACAGTGATGTGTATCCACCATTACAGTATCATGCAGAGTAATTTCACTGCCTTAAAATCCTCCATGCTCTGCCTATTCATATTCATGCCTTCCCCTCCCCTCATCCCTGCCCAACCTCTGGCACCCACTTACCTTTTTAGTGTCTCCATGCTTTTGTCTTTTCCTCAACGTCATATAGTTGGAACCATACAATATTCTTTTCGGATTGGCTTCTTTCACTTGGTAATATGCATTTAAGTTTTCTCCATGTCTTTTCATGGCTCAACAGCTTGTTTCTCTTTAGCACTGCATTTTTTTTTGTTTTTTGTTTTTTGGTTTTTTTCTGTATGTACCATGATATATTTATCTATTCACCTGTGGGACTGTTTTAGAGGAACTTGCTGGGCTCTCCAGTTTTCCAGCTTCAGACGGCTAGGGCTCTTTGTTCAGTTTCCCGCCTGCGGGCCAGGTAGAGCTCTTTGTTTCCAGCCCACAGCCGAGGTAGGCTCTTAGGAGGAGGGGGCTCTGTGACTCAGCGTTATAAAACAAGTAGCCAATCCAGTAATAGTATCAAAGATCAATCAATCCAGAGGAGGTTTGAAAGAATTGGATGAGAACATGAAAGAGGAGGGAATAACTTGAGGAGTTAAAACTCCAGCCACCCCTGCCTGAATGGATTCCTTTCCGCGTCCCCTCCCACGAAAGCGTGGGAGCTGTTCTTTCACTCTGCCTAATAAACTCCACTTTGACTACTCTTTGGGTCCACAAATTTAATTTCAACAGTAAGTTCACCCGGCCTTTAGCGCTCCTTTCCCCATTCTTGGGGTTAGGAAGGCCAAGAACCTACCAGCCTAGCTTTTGCTTCCGTGGTAGACTAGCGGTTAGGACTTCTGGTTTTCATCCAGGTGGCCTGTGTTCAACCCCTGGTGTGGGAAACAAGCAATCCAACTGAACTTTCATCACTACTCCGGTAACATACCTATCTAAAGATATTTTAATTCCTTCTAAGTTCTGGCAATTATGATTAACCTGTAGTAAACATCTCTGTGCAGGTTTTGTTTTGTTTCAGTTTTTAAGTTCTGGGGTACGTGTGTAGGATGAGCAGATTTGTTACCAAGGTAAACGTGTTCCACAGTGGTTTGCTGTACCTATCAACCCTTCACTGAGGTATTAAGCCTAGCAAGCATTAGCTATTTTTCCTAAGGCTCTCCCTCCCCACTCTCTATCTCCCTACAGGTCCCCATGTGGTTCCCCTCCCTGTGTCCATGTTTTCTCATTATTCAGCTCCCACTTACAAGTGAAAATATGCGGTGTTTGGTTTTCTGTTCCTCTGTGCAGGTTTTTATGTGGACTAAAATTTCCAATTCCTTTGGGTAAATGTCAAGGAAAAAGATTACTGAATTTTTTGAGGAAAAGTATGCTTCGTTTTGTAAGAAACAGCCAAACTTTCTGCCAAAGTAACGATACCATTTTGCATTCCCACCAACAATGAATGAGAGTATCTGCTGCTTCACATCCTCACCAGCATTTGGTGTGTCAGTGTTCTGGATCTGGCCATTCTAATAGGTGTACAGTGGTATCTCAGTGTTGATTTAATTTGTATTTATTTGATGACACATGATGTTAAGCATTGTTCATATATGAGTATTTGCCATGTGTATTATATTTGGTGAGATGTCAGAGTCGTCATCCCACTTTTTAGTTGGGTCATTTGTGTTTTCATTGTTCCATTTTGAGAATTCTTCGCGTATTTTGGAGAACCATTTTTTATCTAATATTTATTTGGCAAATATTTTCTCCCAGTCTGTGGCTTGTCTTTTTAGTCTCAACAAGTGTCTTTTGCAGAGCAGAAATTTTTAATGTTAATGAAGTCCAGCTTATTAATTGTTTTTCATGGATCGTGCCTTTGGTGGCACTTTTAAAAAATCATCACCTAGATTTTCTCCTATGCTATCTCTTAGGAGTTTTATAGTTTTGTGGAGATTTTTTAGGTCTGTGATTCATTTAGGCCAGTGAGTTTCGAGTTAATTTTGAGTTAATTTTATGAAGGGTATAAGTTTTGTCTGGATTCTTTTTTTTTTTTTTTTTGCATGTAGATATGCAGTTGTTGTAGCAACATTTGTTGAAAAGACTATCTTCGCTTTATTGTATTGCCTTTGTTCCTTTGTCAAAAATCAGTTAACGGTATTATTTGGGTCTAATTGTAGTTTCTTTATAATGTTCCATTGATTCATTTCTACATCCTTTCATCAATACCACACTGTCCTGATCACTGTAGCTTTTTATATGTCTTGAAGTCCAGTAGTGTTTGTCTTCCAACTTTGTTCTTCAGTGTCATGTTGGCTATTCTGGGACTTTTGCTTCTCCACATAAACTTTAAAAGCAGTTTATCACTTATCCACAAAATAACTTGCTATTTTGATTGGGATTGCATTGAATTTATACGTCAATTTCAGAAGAACTGACAGATTGGCAATATTGAGTCTTCCTACCCACAAACATGGAACATCTTTACTTAGTTTTTTTGTCATGTCTTTAATCAATTTTGTACTTTTTCTCATATGTATCCTGTACATATTTTCTTAAATTTATACCTCAGGATTTCATTTTGGGTGGAGTTAATGTAAATAATATTATGTTTTTAATTTCAAATTCCACTTGTTCATTACTGGTATATAGGAAATGATTGACTTTTTTGTATTAACCTTGGATCCTACAGCACTGCTATGATCACTTATTAGTTCCTGCCATTGTCTACTTTTTAATATGCACAGACGTGCACATTAAATGGAAGTGGCTCTCATCTTTATATCTGAAATATGTAAAACTTGCTTTTTTGTATATTTGTTTGTCTTTGCATGTTAGTACACTTCTCTGGAATACTTGTCTTGGAGATTTCCTTTATTAGAAAATCTTAGGTCCCAGTGGGTTAATTTTTTTAGGATTATCTCAAATATAATTAGCACTGCCAGTCATTCCCCTCCCCTCTAGCTACTTTTAGAAATTAGTTGGGTGTTTCTCATAAGTGCTAATGAACAGCTTAATGGTTCATCCTTTACCTCCGTTGAAATCAGAGCCAGAAGAAATAAATTAATATTCTACCATGGGCCAGCCCAATCAT